CCGCTCTCTGCAGGAAGCTGGGCTGCAGAAGGACAGCCAGCACAGCCAATGGTAGCTTACCCAGCTGCACGACAGCCACCCCCAAGGTGTGTCCTTCTAGCTGAACATTTCAAACAAACAGTGCAAATTGTTTCTGCAAACCTGCTTTGGCTGGCCTGTATATCCTCTTAAATGCTAAAAACCTGATATCCTAATTGAGATGTGCTGTGTGGAATACAGGCTAGATACTAAATATCCCGTGCATTTACTATTACAGGCCGAAATGTTTGACTATATAGAGTTAAGCACAACATTAGCTTAACCTCGTTTTAAGAGTGAGGTTTTAAACTGTGTAGCTTCCGTTCCATTGCCATGCTTTGGACTGCGGCTAAGTCTGTTGTATTTTCTGACTCGGCTGCAAGCAGGAGAGTTGAGGGCAGGGATGCCTGCAGGAGCAGGTGGAAGTGACCAGGGCAAGGCCTCGATCCTGAGGCTGAGCCCGCAGATGGGGCAGCAGCAGGAGGCTCAGCTCAGACAGGGGCACTTTGGCCCAGGTGGGCCTTGCTGGAGTGCCCTGCAATTGAAGAGCTTGGTTCTGTATGGGTGTGGCTCTTACTGTGGGGCCGACCTGCCAGGCAACTCGGAGGTAGTTAATGTGGGATGGCGCCATCTACTTCCTGAAGGGCACACCCAGCTGCCACCTGGAGGAAATCCTGTTTCTGGAATGCTCACCGATTACCAGCCCATCCTTTTTTGGAAATCTGTAAAAACAGATTTCTGGAAAGTGGAATTTTTTTTTTTAAAGATTTATTTTTATTATTTTTTCATTGGAAAGGCGGATATACAGAGAGGAGAGACAGAGAGGAAGATCTTCCATCCGATGATTCACTCCCCAAGTGAGCGCAACGGGCCGATACTATGCCGATCCGAAGCCAGGAGCCTCTTCCGGGTCTCCCACGCGGGTGCAGGTTCCCAAAGCTTTGGGCTGTCCTCGACTGCTTTCCCGGGCCACAGGCAGGGAGCTGGAAGGGAAGCGGGGCCGCCGGGATTAGAACCGGTGCTCATATGGGATCCTGGGTGTGCAAGGCGAGGACCCTAACCACTGCGCCACCGCGCCGGGCCCGGAATTTTTTTTTTTTAAACAGACGGAGATTTGTCATCTGCCCATCTGGTGGTTGTTGGTTCACCCCCACATATTTGGCACAGCCAGGATTGTGCCAGGCCAAAGCCGACAGCCCAGAAGCCTGTCTAGTTCTTCCCCCAAGGATGGCAAGAACTCAGCATCCCATGCTGCCTCCAGGGTCTGCACTAGCAGGGAGTGGGGATTGATGTGGGGCAGGTGCCAACTCAGGCACCCAGTGTGTCCCTACTGCACTTTGTAGATGCCCTCCATGGCTTCAGCAGGTGCCAATGCCTGTCCGTTGGGGCAGCGAGGCCCTCACAGAGGGCTGCTGGCTTCATCCTGGCCCAGGCGGGAGGGACCCCTGAGCGCGAAGCCGAGGGACCAGGGGCAGTTTGCATGGTGGGGCAGTCGGAGCGGGTCTTGGGAGGCCGGGTCTGTTCCTGCCGTCTGACTTGGCACAAGGCGTGGGGGTGCAGCCTTGAGCCCAGACCCAGAAGTGCCCCAACCCTTAGCTCTGTCAGTCAGACGAAGCTGGGTCCTGAGGAGCAGTGACTGCCCCAGCCCAGACTTGTGGCACTGGAGAGATGGCTGGGCCTCAGCTCCCACACTCCTGATTCCTTACAGACCAGGGCTGCCAGGCCTTCTGATGGGACCACGGATACCGGTCATGACAATCCTCCTGTGTCTCTAGGTGGCCAGGTGTCACAGGGACATGGCCTTTCAGAGACGGAGAGTGCTGTTCTGGCGACTCGGACTTCAGGCCTCCCAGGCCCTAACAGATCTGCAAGGGCTACATGTGTCAGAGGTCCCAGTTCCCTTCCTGGGCAACGCCACCAAGAGAGGGAGGCTGGGGCAGTGGGGAAGGGACACAGATCACTGGGGGCGCCCACTCACAATCCACTAGAGCGGGTTTTTTTGGTCAAGATTTATTTTTTAAAGACTTATTCCTATTGGAAAGTCAGATATACAGAGAGGAGAGACAGGAAGATCTTCTGTCCGCTGATTCACTCCCCAAGTGGCCACAATAGCAAAGCTGTCAATCCGAAGCCAGGAGCCAGGAGCTTTTTCCGGGTCTCCCACGCGGATGCAGGGTCCCAAGGCTTTAGGCCGTCCTCGACTGCTTTCCCAGGCCACAAGCAGGGAGCTGGATGGGAAGTGGAACAGCCAAGACATGTACTGGTGCCCACGTGGGCAGGTGTGTGTAAGGCGAGGATTTAGCAGCTGGATCATTGCATGACCCCCCCCCCCCCGGGGCAGCTGTCCTGGCACTTCAGGAACACTGTGTCCCTGCCCACCTGACTTGGCTGGAAAATGCACGCACTTTGGGGTCTAAAACCTCTGTCCTCATCCTGGAACCTTGGCACCTCACAGTTTAAACCACAACGTTGTCTTAGAGTCCCAAGGTGCCAGTGTGAGCCTGCTCAGCCAGAGACCAGGCCAGGGAGCGGGAGTGTGGGGACTGAGACTGGCTGGCAACCTGGGAGGACTTTGCCTTTTGGGCACCGCTGGCACCCAGCTGGTTGGAGGGTCTCCCTGCCACCAGGAAGGCGGTTGCTGTACCCCCATTCTCTGTGGCAGGTGCAGGCAGCAGGGGGCAGGAGTTTGGGACCACCAGAGAACAAAGACCAAGAAAAGCACTTTCCTTTGTCTGAAGGGTCGGTTTAGGGAAACGGGCAGCAGTGCCACCTGGTGGCCACCAAGGCCAACACCCCAGGAAGGAACGGCAGTGCCAGCTGCTGGCGCTTGGCGTCCTGGGAAAAGCCCTTCTCCAGGGCGAGGCCCAGAGGGCACCAGTCTGGGTAGATTAGCTCTGACAGGAAGCAGCACTACCGCTGAGGTCAAGGCCAAGCGGGGAAACGGGAGGGAAGGCCCAGGCGGGGGTGGGGTGAGGGGACCCCTGAAGGTCCTCACAGGGGATGGCTCTGTGCTGCTGAGGGTGCAGGGGCTCCCGGGACACGGAGGGGACCCCAGGCCTCCAGCCCGGGAGCTCCTGGGACACGGAGGGGACCCCAGGGCTCCAGCCCGGGAACTCCTGGGACACGGACGCAAGGCCCAAGGGGTCAGACAATGTGAGTGGAGGACGCTTTCCGAAATCTTTGTGACCAAGGCCCAGCCATTTGCCAAGGTATATACACATTTTATTTAAAAAAACTTACAGTTTTCATTATTTTCATTATACACAGCTATGAAGAGGTTCTAGTTAGAGGCGGCGTCTGTCCTGCTGACAGGCGTGCGCACTCGATCAACACAACGCAAGGGGAAAAGGTGGGAGGGAGGAGCAGGGCGAGGAGAAAGCAGAAAAAGCTGATTCAAGGGCTGCGAAACCCCCGTCTCTTCAAGCATCACACTGAATGTACCAAACACAATCAGAACGGCCATTTCTTCCCAAGCCAACAGCCCCGGCCTCCCTCAGTGAGGCCTGCGGGCCTGAGGCCCCTGCCCCCACCAGCCAACCCCTAAGAGAACCGCCGAGGGGCCCAGCAGCCAGGCAGAGTAGACTCGGACTCAGAAGTCCGAAGAGATGATGCTCTCCGCCCTGTCACTCCAGGCCGTGACCCCGGGAAGGGAGGTGCTGGCCTCAACTCTCGGGGACGCTTAAGACACAGCAGGGCACGGTGTCTAACACCAAGCCCACCTCTGCAGTACTTGACCCGTGGGGGTGAGCCATCCCGCCAGAAGACCTGGTCAAAGGCAAGGGTCGGCCAAGGCCAGGCGGACTTCCATTGGCCAGCTGGCAATGACAACAGCTAAGGAAATGGCCAAGAAGTGTTGGGTCCTAGAGAGAATTTATAGTGACATGTGATAATCGTCTCACTCGTGTAAAAGCAAATGTGGATTGAAACCCAACAGTGACCTCAGGAGGGTGACCACACTGCCCATGAGCTGGAATAACGTCCTCCGAGGACCTGTTTGTGGCCACCTTGCTCATTGGTGTTTGGCAAGAGCAGGTAAGCCACAGGTAGGACTTTGAAGCCATCGGGGACTAAGCAAGCCTGGGACCTGGCAGCAGCAGCTCTGAGCGGCCCCAGCGCCGTCCAGGCGTGGGTGCCCAGCCTGCCCCTGGGCCTCAGGCCCTCGGAGTGCGAGCAGGGGTTAACTGTGGGCAACTCGAGCTGTGCTGCAAGCAGCCTTGGGGCCGTGCACCAGGCCAGCCTTCCGTCAGCAAACTCTGCACCTGGAACTCGTCTTCTATGCTCGTCTCTCCTAGGTGCAGGGAAAGGACACAAGTTAGTGTGCAAAAAGCTTCTGGGGCGTGGTTGTGCTGTGGAGGGCAGCGCCCCAAGACCTCAGGAGGAGAATCCGGCACCGAGAGGCCTTCTCAGACCTCCCTACACACATGCCTCTCTGCCGCCACATGAGGACCTGCAGCTGTGCCCCTGCAGGTGCCCAGGGGACTCCGGCCCCTCGGCTGTGCCCCTGCCGGTTCCCCAGGGACTCCGGCCCCTCGGCTGTGCCCCTGCAGGTGCCTGGGGGACTCTGGCCCCTCGGCTGTGCCCCTGCAGGTGCCCGGGGACTCCGCCCTCGCTGCCCCTGCAGTGCTGGGGACTCTGGCCCTCGCTGGCCTGCAGGTGCCCGGGGCACTCCTGCCCCTCGCTGTCTGGCCCTGCAGGTGTCCGGGGGACTCCGGCCCCTCGGCTGTGCCCCTGCAGGTGCCCGGGGCACTCCTGCTCCTCGCTGTCTGGCCCTGCAGGTGCCCGGGGCACTCCTGCCCCTCGCTGTCTGGCCCTGCAGCTCTGCTGATGCATCTCCATTTGACAACAGAGTGGATTTGGGGGAAGAGTGTGCCTTGCTAACAGACCGTCTGTAACTTGGTTCTAACTAGTTGTTGGACAAGATCAAAAACAATTCTCATCTGCACATTATTTTTTTTGAAAGGCAATTAGAACACTATTGTTTATACAATATTGAAAAAATACAATTTATTGTTTGAACTCCAATCACCACCCAGCATTTTAACCCTACCCCAAGCAGCACCTACGGTAGTGGTTCTAGCACAAGCACACGGCTACTTCAGCAGGAGAGTGAGTCGGACAGGGCCGGCAGTGACGACAGCGTGCGAGGGACGCATCAAAGGACACCGTTACAGGTTACAGAGTTAATTCGACCCTCCCAGCGAGCTCGAATGCTAGAGAGAACCAACCACAGCCCTACCCAGCTGCACTTTGAATCTCTTAATGAAAACCTTTCGCTTCATGCCCGTAATTAACCTAAAGAAATTCTTTGTCTTTTTATTTAGGAAAATAATCATGCTCAAAAGCAAGTTGTACTTTATATATAGATTTTTTTCAAAGAAAAGATTGATTGTGCTTTTTGAATAAAAAGGTAGGGGATCTTCCAATCTCAGACTTCAAGCTTGTGCAATACAACACTAAAGCAGGACTACACACCAAAGCAAAGCTGACCTCAGGGGGACACTCAAACGTTGTCTTTAGGAAGTCCTGGGACTGGCTGATCCTGGAACTGCCCGGTGGTGGCAGCGGGGCCAAGCGCGCAGAGCTGCTGCCTGGCGGCACAGCAGGTGCAGTGTGGGGCCCGCGGCGGCCTGCACGTTAGGGACTCCTTTCCTTGTGACCTTCAGAACTGTCCTGCATCCTCTCTGAATCCCTTCTTCCAGGTCAGTCACTCTCTGGAAACAAAACAAACTTTCTCCTGTGTCGGGTCACTTTGGGTACAAAAGCCTTTATTTGTTCCAATTATCATTGTTTTACATTTGGGGTGCATGTTGGGTTGGAAACCCCCGTTTCACACTCCCACCAGCAGATGACCAGGCAGCCGCCAGCAGTGGCAGCAGGAGGCAAAGGCAAACCAAACCACGGGCGAGGGGGCTCGGCCTGTCAATCCACACAGCCCCCAAACCCAACAAAGTCCCCCTCAGACAGAAGGCGCTCCGTCCAGGACGGTGGTCTCAGACCGTCCGGCCGAGGGCAGGAGACGTAGCCTCCTTCCAGTCCCTTGTAGGCCCGGACTACCAGCTCGACCAAGAAAAACCAGCTTCTGCAAAGACTTCCCAAGGTCCTCCAGAGCAAGCGCTGCAGCTGCAGGCCCGAGGGGGTGAAGGTCAGGTATCCACACATCAAAACGCACCGAGTCCGACTCAAGAATCAAGTCTGAACGCTTGCACTGAGCTCCCTGCTTCTTACTGGACTGCGCAGGGCAAGGGCTGTGTCGGGCGCACAGCGAGACGCAGCTCGAGTCTTGGGGGGCTGGCTCGCCCCACTCCAGAAGCTCGCTCTGCCTCCCAGCTTCTTCCTGTCCATTCTGAACAACCACTGATCTAGCTTCACGTCCAAGGGCCGGCTGGTTTAGTTTGTTTCTTTGGAACCATCAATAAAGAAGCAACTTCTTCCTGTCATTCTACGTCTATCTATCAGAGCGCCTATTTCTTTTGACAGTTCAGTAGCACACAAGCTGACTTGGCCAAATGGACTTATGAATGCATGCATTCAGATTGCATATTGCTACCAAAATGGAATGTGGGAATATGCTATGCACCTCCGGCTGAGAAATGACCAAGAAAATCAAGATCTAAAGGGTGATATATAATATATATATATCAATGCTATTATTCATAAAAACCTTGTTTAGTAATAAAAAAAATTGCTTTGTTTAAATATGAATATTATAGTCTGCTTCTCATGGTTAGGAAATAATAGTCTTTCTGAAAAGCAGGTGCTGTTTCTACTACAACTCCATATCCTGGGCCTCATCTTCGGAAAAGTCAGACATGGAGCTCTCGGACGAGCTGTCCCCGGTGCCTTCTTCCTGCTCCTTCAGAGCCTCCTCCGTGGCGTACTTCTGGATGTACTCTGCATGGGGCGGGAGAGAAAACACAGGGCGGTGAGCCACGGCCACGGGCTGCAGGCTGGCCACCTGCCTGGAGCACGCAAGCGGACGGCCAGGGTCCCTAACGCAAAGCGGGCCCATGGGGACACCGGTCTGGTCATTTGGCCCCAGGGAAGGGCTTATCAGGAGCGGCTACACAGAACATCATTTGCACACGTGCAGGGGAGTGAGAAAACGTCCCCAGCATCATCCCAGAATACGAGGCCCTGGGGCAAGGGTGCCCTCCCCACACTTTTCCTCTGGCAGTAATATGATTCATGTCCAGTTTGAACAGGACTAACCATGGATCTGTGGCAAGTTCGCAGGAAATCCCCCATCATCACAGTTATATAATTACAGCTGGCGTGGCTCTGCCTGCTTGTCAGCTGTGAGCAGCTGGCAGAGCCGTCTTCAGTCAAGCTGTTTAGGGCAGTCACTACCCTGCACACCGAGGCTGCGCTGTGCCCCAGTCTCCCCTGGCACAGCACAAGGTGACAAGCAGCTGAGAGTCCTGCAGTGAAGCAGGGGCCCACACTCCAACGGGAAAACCAACCGGTTTGCCAGAATTGGGTCATCAGTGCAGGAGGTCTAGCCGAGAATATTAAATCTTAAAAACATTCTAAAGCGTTACGGAAAAGAGAAAGGGTATTTGACGGGCAACTGAGTCCCTTTAAATTCATTAGAACAGAACTTTACACTAAAGTAATGAAATTCAACCAGCCCATAACCAGGCAGGAACTCGCTTTCCAGAGAAGCATGCTTTGGCCCTGTAATTTGGTAGCACTAATTTTCTCAGCACGTGCAAGGAAAACATGCCCATTCAGAACTTACTAGGACTAGAGGGAAGTGCAGCAAGGTCACTAGAGCTCCCAGACAGGAGCCAAGAGGACCAGGCAGGCAGACGCTGCGACCAGGCCCTGCCAGCCAGAGCAGACAGCCCGGGCCAAACTTAGCTCACCAGAGTGAAATGAGCACAACACGCAGAGAGAACTCTGTCTTCCTCCTTAAAAAAACGCTACAGCAAATAAAGCAAAACAGGGAGGTTTTTCCATCAGGGGATGGTGATGGTTTTTCTGTAGGTTTGAAACTTTCCGTGACCAATGAAGGAAGCAGAGCTTCCTTTACTCAGAAGTTGACGCCCTGAGAGCAGTCACGGGGAGTGCCCAGCTCTGTGGGATTGACTCTATTTAAACATGTTTTCAAATCAGTTCCACTAAATCTGAGTGCCAATGTTTAGGATTAAGCAGACACAGGGCTCGGCACAGTAGGCTAATGGCTAAATTCTCACATGTGCAGTGATCCCATATGGGTGCTAGTTTGTATCCTGGTTGCTCCGCTTCCCTCCCAGCTCCCTACTTGTGGCCTAAGAAAGCAACTGAGAACAGCTCAGAGCCTTAGGACTCTGCACTTCTGTGGGAGACCCAGAAGAAGCTCTTGGCTCCTGGCTTCAGATTGGCTCAGCTCCAGTCATTGAGCCACTTGGGGAGTGAACCAGCGAATGGAAGATCTTTCTCTTTGTCTCTCCTTCTCTCTGTAAATGTGACTTTCCAATAAAAATAAATAAACATAAAAGATTTGCTTTTTTTGAAAAAAGGTTACACTGTACGCAGACGTGAGGTATTGGGACACACAGGTGGAAGTCTGCAGGAGGAAGTCCAGGCCCAGATGCCTTCATCTAGAAGTGAAGAATCTCTCCAAGTGGTGAGGGAGAGGAGGGGCAGCCCAAGCAAAAACAAAGGAAAACAGCAAATAAAAAAGAAAACACATTAAAGTGATTGAGCTGCTACTGTAACAGATTCATGTACAGGAAAGTGTTTAGAAAAAAAAAAAAAAAAAAAAAGAACAGCCAGGCTTAGACAACGGGATCCCAAGTTTGCAGAGAGGAAGGGTGTAAAACAGCAAATGCTGCAGATGGGCTGTGCCGGGGACCAGGGCGCCACCAGGCAAAAGACGGATGCATTTAAACTTCTCCCTGTCAAAGTTCTCACACACGAAGACCTAAAGGGACACTGACAAACGGATATGCCCATGCGGGCCTTGAGATCTCCTTCTGCGAGCCTATGTCCCTTTCAAGGAAACCCCGTGTGCACCTGTAAAGTGTGTGACGCACAGGAAACAAGGATTCCACTTCCTAAGGAAGGAGCAAACACATTACCTCAGCTCCCACCAAGACTGCCCTGCCAAGTACTGCCCCGCCAAGTACTGCCCTGCCAAGTACTGCCCCGCCAAGTACTGCCTCGCCAAGTACTGCCTCACCAAGTACTGCCTCAGCCCCAGAATGTTTTCAGAAAGATCATTAGGGTTAAAGGGCTTTGAAAGTCCGACAGACCAAGCTCTTTGGGCCCCAGTCGACCCGTCTCACCTTTAATCTTCTGCTTGTACTCTTCAGGGCGGTGGAGGTACATGGCGGCGGCGTCTCCATTGAGAGGATCGATGGGGTTTGGATAGGCCAACAACTGGGGCAGGAAGGACTCAAATATGTTGGTAAGATCTGCAGACAGAGAAGCACGTCATGCCTAGGAGTACTGAAGTGTGCCCACAATCCACCTGCAGTTTGTAGTCAAAAGTGCTTACCCCCACTGTGTGTGCCACGCACGTGACCTACGGCACGTATCCAGCTCAATGCTAAAGCGACATTGAAACAGGAGAACCAGATACACACAGCTGGTATTTGTCCCAATTTGAATTCACTCCATTTCCCCAACCAACATGTCATTATTCCACAACCAAGAATCAAGTATTACAACAGCACTCTACAGCACCCTACATTCTTACAAAATGAGTAATTTCTTAATGGATCATTTTCTGTAACTCCCAATTGATCGCTACTTAAAAAGAGTATAAAAAAGCATTCAAAAAGTATGCCAGCTCTTTAAAGAACTGAACACAATTGACACTTCATTCAATGCCCCTGATTTCTAACAGAAGTAAGCAGTTTTTCAATTACCCAGAGTTACAAGGATAGGAACCTACACACGCCTGCAAAAAAACATGCTCACACACAGAGAAGACACCCCAACACAGCAAAAAGCCTGCTGCTCTGTGGCGCTCTGCACAAGACAGCCGACAGAGCCCTCCTTGGCCGAGAGGGACCAGCGAGCCGAGTGCTTCTGTCTCTGCCCTTTCCCGGCTGCTCCCTGAAGGCAATGCTAAAGCATCAACTACTACCTTTAATTTATTCTGCCCCATTTACTAGATTCAAAGGAGGGAAAAAAAAAAAGCCTTCAAGCAGCTGTACAACTTTCCCAAGCCGGCAATAAGTTCCCACCATGGAGTGACTTGTGCTAACTGGGGAAGTGGCACTGCCTGGAGTGTGGCAGTTGCCAGCAGGGCTGCGCTCAGGGCAGGCCCTGCACACGTCCACTCCTTCGATGACTATTCGGACTAAAATGCCAATGAAGCTAAGGTTCAGAAATCCTATGCTAGACAAAGTACCACAGATAGAGGCAGACACAACGGGTAAACAGGTGCAGCTGTTGTCCCACAGGTAGCCAGAGTTTGCCCAACTTTACCTGTAGGAGGCTTTCCTTATCAGTGTAAGATTGAAAAATGGAACAAAGAATTTCCAGAATGCAAAACTCAACAGAATTTGTTGCAAAGATAAAATTGTTTTGCAACTGGCGCTGCTCACTGCCAGAGACACATATGGCTGCTGGGGCTGAGGAAGTCAAATTTTTACTTAAAAGTGTTTTTTTCCCCCCTCTATTTTATAAGAAGCACAGAGACAGTCAGATGAAGACAGATCTTGCACCTAGTGGCTCACTTCCCAAACGTCTCTAGTAGCTGAGGTGAGGTTAAGTCAGGCCAAACTAGGAGCCTCAAACTCAGTTTCACCCGGGGTGGGCTTCTGCAGGAAGCCAGACAGGAAGCCGAGGAACTAGCACCAGACACTTCAGGAACGTGTGTGCCACCGCCTCCAGCTGGGAGCGCCTACGTCCTAGAGAATGATGTGCACAAGAGCTGGCTGGGCTGAATACACACCTGGGCAATCCGCCCCAGGGCCGTTTCACCTCCACAAGGCCAAGTCCCAATAGTAAGGTCCCATGCACCAGAAAACAAATGCTGGAATTTCTCAGCATAATAAAACAAAACAGAACAACCTTTGAAATAACCTCCAAAATTATACATACGCAGTAAGATTTTTGCTGCCATTTATTTATAAATGCTTTATAAAAGCAAACAAGATTCAACAAATCAACAACCATTTAGGCACAAATCCTTGGCAAGAACTTTGTAAGGGATGAGGACTAGAGGGAAAACGCTTTAGTGCTTGAGTGCTGGATGGAGAAAGGCCCTATGATGGTTAATACATATGTTTTCTAAAATTACAACTACATGTGGTATGCATACAAAAGAAAAGTACTTAAAATTCTTCAGTTTACCTTTAATTGAAAGAGACCAAGACAGATGAACCTCTTCCACCCACTGGTTCACTCCCCAAATGCCTGCAACAGGTAGTCCTAGGTCAAACCAGTCAGGAGCTGGGCTCCATACGGAGGCAGGCTGAACCATCACCCACTGCCTCCCAGAGCGCACCTGATGCAACGAGGAAGCTAGGACTGGGATCAGGCACTCCGATCTGGGCATGTCGAACAGCACCACTGTCCCAAAGATGTTCCCTCAAGACTACCATTCTTCAAAGTCATCTCAAGGCCACAAGCTTATAATTTCTTACTTTCTACACTTAAATGACATTCTGTTTTTACATTTAAAAATATTTCTGGGGGTGGGATCCCAGACTCCACAGAATTGTATCATAAAATTTGAATTTTAAACTAAAAAATAAAACAAAATAAAATTTATTTTCATTTATAAAAAAAGACTTTAAAAATAAGAATGATACAGAAATCTTGCCCTTGCTGATTTGCTCTCCAAAGGACCGCCAACAGCCAGGTCTTGGCCAAGCTCAGCCAGGGTCAGGAACTCTGTCCAGCACACCCACGGGGTGGCCGGAACCCAGACACTTGGTCCACCTTCTGCCTTCCCAGGGGCATCAGCAGCGCGCTGGATCTGAAGCAGAGCAGGAACTGAAACCAGCGCTCTGATGTGGGATGCAGGCTGCCCCAATACCAGTCCCTTTCTTTCTTCTGTATCTTAAGAATGAAATAAAACCAGAGGAAGTCTGAAAATGCTTTTCCTCCGAGTAGGTGAGTTTTTAAGGCAGTGGTAGCAAATTAAGTAGAGTTTCACAAAATGAATGCAACCCCAGGGCAGGAAGAGTCAGTTTCTGAGTTCCGTTAGCAGGAACATCAGTCAACTACTGCGCAGCACTTCCTATGAGCTGCACAAATGCTTCCCGTGTCAGTACAGCCATCCACGGAGGTCCCACTAGCTCCAGTGTACACGCACAGAAACAGAGGTTAGTCAACTCGCCTGAGGGTGGCCTTTGATGCATGACATGGTCTCAACAGCCAGATGGCTCAAGCTGCCCGGAGCTCTGCATTCGTGCCATGCCACATGTGGAGCACAAGGCCACAGGCAGAGCCCGAAGCAGAGAAGTGCAGGATCTGTGGGCTGCTTCAGGTAGCACAGGCTTGTCCTCCAGCAGCTCGACCCCAGGCAGAGGCCATCGACTCCTGGACATGTGAGCTGCTGTCTCTTCTGCCACACAATTTTGTCAGGACACAGGGAAGGATTCGCCGTGGAGGGCTGCCACTGACTAGCAACCAACCTTCACAAGGCACAGTGCAGGCACGTGCTTAACTTATGCTCAGAAGGGTAAGAGCTTTCAAGGTGAAAACCACGGGTGCGGGAGTCCAGCTACATCCAAGAATGACAGACTCACATCGGGAAAAGGTTCAAAGTGAGCATGTTTCTCCAGGATTATTAATAAAACATGTATTAGTTCAAAGAGTCATTTTAAAAACATTAATCTTGGCAGTAGGCACTTACACCTAGAGGCTAAGATGATGACATCAAACACTGGAGTGCTCCCATCTGGCTCCGGATCCCAGCCCTCAACGCGAGCTGCCTGCCAACGCTGACTCTGGGAGGCAGGGTGAGGCGAGTCCCCGCGAGAAGTGGAGTTCCAGGCTCCCAATCGCTATCCAACCCAGAGGCTGCTGGCATGAGTGCAGCAGTGCATGCAGCTCTGGTCTCTCAACTAATCAAACAAAACATCTTAAATTATGAACATTAATCTTTGATTTTTTTTCAAACGGAGAGAGCCAGAAACATATCACAACAGATTAGATTACGGTCAGTTGGCTGTATTAAAGAGTATGGTGAAGGTTTTGTGCAGTAGCCTAGTGGCTGAAGTCCTCATTTTGCACATGCTGGACCATATGGGTGCTGGTTAGAATCCTAGCTGCACCACTTCCCATCCAGCTCCCTGCTTGTGGCCTGGGAAAGCAGTCAAGGACAGCCCAAAGCCTTGGGACCCTGCACTCGAGTGGGAGACCCGGAAGAAGCTCCAGGCTTCTGGCTTTGGATCAGCTCAGCTTCAGCTGATGTGGCTACTTGGGGAGTGAATCAACAAATGGAAGATAGCAAAGCTATCCACCAAATCTCTCAAAACTGGGCAGCCAAGCATTGATTGTTTCTTTTTCTTTTTTGCTAAGATTTAAACAGGTAAACAGTAAGATTTTCAGATTTCCTTAGGTTGTTTAATAATTTACGTTCTTTCCCTCATCTAGCTTCTAAGAACTTGTAGTATTAATAATGGATTTGGAGGTTTTCTTTAATGTTTTGCTGCTTATCATCTGTGAACAAGAAAAATCAGTAAATTCTACAGAGTAGTACAAGATCCATACACCTTCATCAACAGGAGAGTGGTGCACTGCGTACAACCAAGCAGTTGTTAAAAGAAAAAACGTGGTAAGCAGAGGAACCTAACCTATGCTGCACCCCGCTACCCCAGCAAACTTCAGCAAAGCCAGGCATGGATAGTGCCCTCAGACACACAGCAGGCCAACCTCAAACAGGAAATGGTTTTTGAGCTTGATAGCAGCATTCCACAGTCAGTATTTGAGCCCACTTGTCTCCTGGCGCAGAGGGGCTGCACGGCTGAAATGCAGCAGCCACTGTGTCGGTGCAGCCTGGGACAGGTCCCGTTGCCAGCAGCCTCCCACAAGCTGCTGCGCTCGGCCAGCGGAGAGCTGCCAAGGCGACAATGTACAGCCACCAGCTAAAGGACAGCCCAAGGAGGCACAGTCACCACTTCCTCTGCCAGTATCACTGATGTGTACAGCAACACTCAACAGGTGTGACCGTTTCCAGTTCATCGTGTCCTCGGGGCAGTCCACGAGGATCTCCAAGATAGCACATGGTCTCACTGAAGAAGCACGCAGGCATCTCCCTAAGGGGCAGACAGCGCTCAGCCAGTTACACTGCAGCCTATGACGTCAGTTTTCCATGTGAGCACCAATTCAGGTCCCCGACGCTCCACTGTCAATCCAGCTTCCTGTTACTGTGTCTGGAAAGGCAGTGGCTGCTGGCCCAAGTAGCTGTCTCCTGCCAGTTATGCGGGAGACCCAGAAGGAGCTGCAGGCT